AAACATATAGCATTAGGAGAAAGGGAAGATCAGAATTTGGAGAAAATTAGGAGGGAAATTGCAAAGAAGCGTAAGGGCTTACCGCTTGCTGCAAAGACTCTTGGAAGCCTTTAAAAGTCTAAAACAAGTATACAAGAGTGGTAAAGTGTTATGAATAGTGAAATATGGGAACTCGAAATGGCACAAAAGGATATTTTTGCTCCTTTACTATTGAGTTATTATGATTTGCCCCCTCCAATAAAGTTGTGCTTTTTGTATTGTGTTCTTTTTCCTGAAGATCACAAGGCGTCCTGTGATAATTCCACAATGGATGACGATGGGTTATTTAGCGTGGAACCGTAATTTAGATTTGGAGTCATAAGGGGAAGAGTACTTTCAATCAAATCTTAGTAGCTTGCTCTTTCTTTCAAGATCTTGTAATGGATGATGAGAAGATTATTTATTGCAAGACGCATGACATATATAATACATGATTTTGCTCAGTTTTTGGCAAAGAATGAGTTTAGGAAATTGGAGATCAAGTCTGATCATTTGAGTATAGATGATGAGTCAAAGCTTTGTCACTTGCTTCGTCACTTGATAGTGATGGTTTACAAAGGGATCAATTTTCCTACGGTGATTTCTGGTACAGAAAAATTGCAAGCCCTTATAACGTTCACTGGAGTGGGTGCACTGACTTCTGAGGCCTTGTGTAGCTTGTTTAATTAATGCAGACACCTTAGGGTATTGTCTGTTGGTTTGCCCGATGGAACTGATCATTTATGTAAAGAAATCCCTGAAGGAATCGGAAGATTGATGCACTTGAGATCCCTTCACTTGCCTTGGAGTAATCAATTAGAAGGGCTGCCCGAAAGGCTCTGCAACTTACTTAATTTGGAGTATTTGGATTTGATGGGCTGCCAAAATCTCAAGCAATTGCCAGATTCCATAGGAAAATTAATCAACATGAGGTTTCTTTATACTAATGGTTGCCATGCTCTCATTCACTACCCTCAAGGTGTTCGGATATTGACTTCTTTTAGACAATTAAAGGGGCTCATTGCCAGAGCTGATCGCAATGAAGCTAAAGAATGGAGCCTTGTTGATCTTGAAAACTTGAAGCACCTCCTTGTACTGCATTTCAAAGTGGTGGGAAATTCAATCGATATGGCGCAGGCTAGAAAAGTTCATCTTCAGAACATCCCAAAGATATGGATATTTTTGGCTGGGAATATTCAAAAAGCAGATATAAATGAAGCCTTAGACCCACATAAAACCATACTAGATTTGAAGTTCGTTGACGACTACTGGATGGGCTTTTGAATACAAAAGGTACTCTATTTATCAAATCAGAAAAGTAAAGTGTAGTTTGCCTTAGGTAGATTCACTATACACCATTAATAGAGGGGGTGGGCTCCCTTGATGGTTAACTATTTGGACTACAAAACATTCTGTTATCCCATATATATGCTCTTTTGTAGTTTGCCCAATGAGAAATCATCCTAGATATGTGCTCTTCAAATTGATATTTTTCTTCAAACATCGCGGATTTCTAATTAAGCTTCAATTCCTAGCTAATTAAATTTGTACTTTGCTTTGTAGTTGAACGCTTGTCTCTGTGGGATGCAGCTTATTTTCCGAAGTTAATGGTTTATACTAAATGGAGCAATAATGCTTTCAATTTTATAATACAAAAAATTATTGTATTGTCAATATTATACAACTTATACCATTAGATGAAAAGTAAATCTCTAATATTATGAGCTGTCTCTCTAGCTAATAATTCATATTTAGTAATCCAAATTGTATCAAATAACAAAACATGGACTCTTTCTAATTTATCGTTATAAAACCAAACATACTTATGGAAGGACCACATGCATATTATGTAGGAATTGCACGTGCTTGGGGTAAGGAGAGATTTCGAATGTTGAGTGATGGGTTTTCTTCTATTGTTGGTGAATAAGGAAGCTGTTTCTGTCTACGAAGAGAAAATATGTTGTCTTAATTTCCCGTCATTTTGTAGGAATATTATGAACAAGAATAATTAAACTATGGGCTTGAAAAGCATCGTGTTTGTAGCTCTTGTTTTCTCTCATAGGTGTGAGATTTTAGATTTGGGAATTTTATTAAGCAAGCAACCAGAAGGTTTTGTAGTAGAGAAGAAGCATCTTGCTCGCTTCCTAGTTTGAGAAGTGTGTGATACCACCAACTATCAGACCCGATGAGAGGTCCACGGCAGCTGCATCCCTACTCACCTGGTCCATGCGTGTTGCTCGCTCCAGGAGGTTGACTGCCTATATTAGAGATAATTTCTATATCTTCCCATTTTCAAGAGAACCCGGGCTCAATTCAATGCTTAATTTCTTAGAATCTTACCTAAAATCCTAAACTCTAAATTCTACCTTAGAAACTTATCCGCCTTGACTCAACTCTAAACCCTAAACTCACGTTTAATTATTTTCTCCTAATTGTGGAAGTACCTACCAATCATCAATCAATAAAATTACTGATGATGGGTACATCTTCGATAGCAAGTTGGAGGAAAAATCCCAACATTAGTTCAAGAGCACCAACTCTGTGGAAACGAAGAAATAAGCAGCTGCCCCCACGTGAAAGACTTTGATCCTATCAAGTCGTGCATA